CGGAAACCAAATTAAAATTTTGAAATTACCAGTATTTATAATAATACAAAATTTCAAAAACAATTTATACGTAGATAGAAGTTAGATTATACTTACTTATTAATGTTTGGATATTACCGAAAATACCATTAAAATATTCCCCAAAGAAAAAGTATAATATACGTCGTTTATGTATTTTATTCTAAATTATTGAAATTTATTCAACATAATATATTTGTTGACCAGCATTTAAAAAATAAAATTTATTTTTGTCTAACAAATTTATTGGTTTCAAAATATATAATTTTGGAACTCTATATACTATACATTTTTAATTAACTTTTAGAGATTAATAAATTTTTTGTAATTTTGGAAACGTTGGGATTTTACAAATTTTTTTTTTAAATTAAAAATTAAACTATAATTTTAGTTTTTATCTAAAATTAAATTATTGTATTTTTCTTAACTTTTTGAAATTTTATGGATTTTTTTTCGATTTGTTAAGTTTTGTATGCTTTTAATTTTTTGGATTTTTTTTAAAACAATTTAGAAGACATTTCTGTACTTGAGATGGTTTGCAACATATTAGCCAATACTTGGTGTAGGTAAGAATTATTTTTTCCTTATTTATTAGATGATTTAACTAGAAGTAATATCCTAAGTGTTACGGCGAATCCAACCCAGTTCTTCAACGGACATGCTAACAAATACGTCTTTCTGTGAATTTTGGTTAATGCATCATAGCGGATGTGATCTTTCAAACAAGGAATCTCTTTGATAGCATCCCAAATATTATTTTGTTTCTTCTCTGTTTTCTCTTAACTCAACTTCTCTCTGATGTCTTTCTTCTCTTTGCTGAATAAGATTTATGATATGAGTGCTAACACTAATCATTTCACTTATTAACTTCTCTAAACGATCACCTTGATTCGTAGCCTCTGATGAATCTCCATTACCATTGCTTTAAGCTATTTTCCTAGTTGGTAACTTTTCTTTATGAGCTACATATGTCGCTTCATTAGCCTCACCGACATTCTCCGGATAA